CCCCCGCGCTGGTGGGCCTAAAGCCCCGTCCAGCCTGGCTTGACCGCTGCCGGGGGGGTGTTCTACCTGCAGGGAAGTCTGTGACGGGGCTGGAATGGCGCAAGAGCGGCGTGTTCCAGGCTGCTGGGAGGGTGGCAGTGCTGCCCGGCTGAGCTGGCGCAGGAGGTGAGGAGCCCGGGTCCCCAGCACAGGACATGGCTCTGGGCACGTTGACTCGGTGACAGTCCCAGGCAAATCCTGCTCAGTGCGAGCCTCCCTCCTGGGGCACGACGGAGCTCGCAGGGAGCCGCTGCGGCTTCTGCACTGGGTCGCGCTCCTTTGGCACACATCCTCTTTGGTCTTGATGCGCTGGACTGTCTCTTGCTGCTTTTGGCATGAACTGTGGCTCCTGCACACACTGGGGGTGCCGGGTCCTAGTAACCGACAGTCAAAGTGGCCTCAAGGTTTGGGTGATCCTGGTTACAGGGCCAGGACAGGTATGCTCATGGGAGCGGGTCAGTTGGCTCTTGCGCAGTTGCATTTGTCTCTCGTATCGCCATGGTTGTGCCTCTGCCCCCTTCAAAGGCATCATTCAGCCCATGGAATTCGACCTACAATACAGATATTTTTAGGGTTATTGTGAGGAGATATTCTGGTTGTCCTACAAAAAGGAATGTGGCTCAATGCAAGGATCAGAGCGAGCTCTCTGAACCAGCTGCGCGCTGGGAGGGAGGTTCAGCCCCAGCAGCACAGCTCTGGCTGGTTTCAAGTGAAACTGGGACCTTATGAGCTGCAATTAATGCTCCTGTGTCCAAGGCCAGGTTGGACACAGGGGCTTGGAGCAACCTGCTCCAGTGGAAGGTGTCCCTGCCCGGGGCAGGGGTTGGAGCTGGAGGAGCTTTCAGCCGATTCACCTCGGCTCTAGCAGCTCAGGCTGCATGTTGGTGATGGCTTTGTCTCCACAGAGCAGGAGTCCTCTGCCACAGCAGAGGCTGACAGTGACACAGGTGGCTTGGTCCAGGCTTTGCAGAGCTGGATCTAAACTCACCAGGATTTGCAGACTTGGATCTAAACTTGCCCTCAGGTTCCCCAGGGAAGAGAGGATCGCCCCGACCTGCACAGGGCTCCTTAAAGCAAAAAGGCAGCTCAGCATGTTGTGACCAGGCGTTTGTGTGGTTCATTGTTCCAAGAAAGTCGAGATTAGTCCATGGAAAACTGGGTAGTTGCTACTAAATATTAGGTCTAACAGCAAGTTTGACGTTGACAGCTTAAAGCTGCTTCTGAGGTTCAACCTGTCCTTGCTTTTGTGTGCGGCCCCCCTGCCAGAGGAGCCCTGGAGCAGGTTGGCTGTTGCTGCAGGTAATGGCTTCCATCACTTGCCTTCAAGGGGTTTGTTCCCCATTAATGCCTGTGAGAGCTCTGCACGATCCTGAGGCTCCAGCTTTGTGCAGGCACAGGAGGGCATTGCTGCTGCTCCCCTCCGTGCTGCGCTGCTCCAGGTATTGTGTCGGAGCTGGCTCTGCCTGCGCCTGGGCTCCGCTCTGAACAGGGAATGTAGGTTAGGTGGGAATGGGGAGGGAAACGCCTGACAAGAATAACCTGGGGTTGTCAGGGAAGCGGGGTAAAGCCAGGCCTGGCCTGCAGCTCGTGCAGCTCGGCACGGGAGCAGCGCTGCTGTCCTGCAGGGAGCATGCAGTGTCTGAAGGGAGCTTACAGCTCCTCCAGCTCCAACCCCTGCCCGGGCAGGGACACCTTCCCCTGGAGCAGGCTGCTCCCAGCCCCTGTGTCCAGCCTGGGGTAAAGAGCAGCCCCGTGGCTGCGCCAGGGCCCTGCACCGCTGGGCCGGGGCTGTGCCGCGTGTCTGCAGCAGGGTGCTCTCCCTGCTCTGGTGCTGGCCGTGTCGGGCAGGCACAGCACAGGAGAGGCTGGTTCCT